CTGTCAATATGATAGCATCTTAATTTCTGACCATGCACCAAATTCACTTATCTATGAGGATTTAAAACTAAGGAGAGACCATCCGAGGTGGAGTCTTAAACAAAAATGGCTCATCGACCCAGAATTTATATGTTTTATAGATAGTCAAATTAACATCTACTTTGAAACTAATACAGTTGAAACATCACCCTCTTCAAGGTGGGAAGCCTTTAAGGCCTTTGTAAGGGGTCAAATAATTAGCTTTACGAGTTATACGTCAAAACAAACTTATCAAAAAACAAAAGATTTGGCAGCGGAGATCTTACTGCTAGAAGAAAATTACTATCAAACGCGATGCCCAAATACTCACAAGAAGCTTCTGATTCTAAGAACACAGTACAATGAACTGTCTGCCGCCAAAGCCGCCTCACAACTTTTACGTCTCAAGCAGTCGTTCTATGATCAAGGGGAAAAACCTGGGAAATTACTAGCCTGGCGACTTCGACAATTACAAAATGAGAAAACTATCTCTTCAGTTGAATATAATGACGGACAGATTACTACCGATCCAATAGAAATCAATGAAAGTTTTAAGGTCTTTTTTGAAAAACTATATAGCTCAGACATAACACATAAGGAACAAGAGCAAAATGTTTTCTTAGAAACCCTTCAATTGGTCAACATCCCAGAATTAATGAGTACCAATCTTAGTGCAGCTATAACTAAAGAGGAAATATCTACAGCAATAGATCACTTGAAAACAGGCAAAGCCCCAGGCCCAGATGGGCTGCCGACAGAATTTTATAAGAAATACAAAGCTAAACTGCTAGCTCCCCTTTTTGACATGTATCTGGACTCATTTGAAAAGGGAATTCTTCCCGTCTCACTAAGAGGAGCCCTGATTACGTTATTACCAAAACCTGACAAACCTTGCAACAAGTGTGAAAACCTAAGACCAATAAGTCTTCTTAATGTTGATTTAAAGATTCTGTGCAAAATTCTGGCTCGAAGATTGGAGAAAATATTGCCCGAAATAATTAACTGTGATTAAAATGGGTTTATTGTAGGAAGACAGGGATTTCACAATGTCAGACGAGTACTGGATATCATTTATACTATGGAAGAAAGAACAGAGCCGTCTTTGTTATCACTGGATGCAGAAAAGGCCTTTGATAGAGTTGAGTGGCCCTATTTATTTGAGATACTGAAAAGATTTGGTTGTGGGGATAACTTCTGTCGATGGGTGAAACTCCTATACAATGAGCCTCATGCTGAAATAGTAACAAACGGAGTAATATCTAAATCATTTAAGATTAAAAGAGGTTGTAGACAAGGGTGCCCCTTGTCCCCTTTATTATTTATTCTAGCAATAGAACCACTTGCCATTGCAGTGCGGTCCCATAAAAACATAACTGGTTTGACAATAGGCCAACAGGAACGTAGAATTGCCCTGTTTGCTGACGATGTCATTCTTTTTCTGGAAAACCTGAAATACTCTGTACCAGCCTTGATAGATCTAATAAATACATTTGGAAGAATATCAGGATATAAAGTAAATAAAGATAAGTCTTCATTAATGTTACTTAATTCAGAAGAAAGGGATAGCGGTAGGAATCCTTTCCAATTTAAAAAGGTAGATTGCTTTACATATTTGGGGATTAGAATAGTACCACATATAAATGACATTGTTGCGGTTAACTATAACCCCATGATAGACTCAATTGCTGCTTCTGTGGACAGATGGAACTGTCTACCCTTGTCACTTATAGCACGAATCAATGTCCTTAAATCCAATATAATGCCCAAACTTCTGTATTTGTTTCAGAACATTCCATTGCCGCCTCCTGCCAATTTATTTTCGTCCCTAAAACAGGTTTTCATACGTTTTCTGTGGAATAATAGACGACCAAGGCTTCGCCTAACACTCTTGTATCTACCGTATGATAGAGGAGGCCTCAGGTGCCCCAATCCACTTTGGTACTATTGGGCAGCTCAGTTGAGGACTATGATGTATTATTTTAATAATGAATGTCCCTTGGCTTGGGTAAATATTAAAAATTGTTCTGTACCTCTCCCTCTACCCCAGTATATTTACTCAGCAAAAATCAAAATGCTGAAAAAGAAGACAAAAAACTCTATAGTCAGAAATATGATCTTGGTTTGGTATCAGGTTAAGAAGTATTTAGGTGACTCCTCCTCCTTGTCACGCCTTAGTCCGATATGGGGTAATCAGTTTTTTTCCCCCAGGCAGGGTAGATTCTGGTTTTAGAAAATGGGCTGAAAAAGGTCTAAAGACAATAGGAGATCTGATGAAATCAGAGGATGGAGTTATGGTGTCATTTGAAGAGCTGAAAGCCAAGTATGATATTCCAAGTAAACATCATTTTAAATATTTGCAGGTGAGAAATTTCATTAGATCATTTCAAACCCAAGGTGTATCCATTCCTCCGCTGTCCACTTTGGAAATCGAAATGAAGAACGATTGCTCTAGAAAAGGAATTATCTCCAAATTATATAGCATGTTAATGGAGGGATCATCTGAATCTTCTTTGTGGAAGCTCGATGCCTGGAAAGAGGATCTGCAGGAGAACTTGCCTTCAGAGGACTGGGAGAAAGCATGTGCTTTAGCACAAACACGAACTACCAATACACGCCTCAAAATACTGCAATATAATTGGCTAATGAGAATATATGTGACGCCAGAAAAGCTTAATAAGTACAACGGCGCCATCCCAGACCTGTGTTTTAGTTGTGGAGAGGAGAAGGGGACATTCTTCCATTGTATCTGGAAATGCAAGAAAGTTCAACAATTCTGGAGGGAGATTAAACAAGCTCTAGAGATTATACTAGGTATAAAACTAGCTTTTGACCCCAAATTGTTTATTTTAGGTCTATATCCTGACAGACATCATATGTCCAGAAAGATTATTACTGCCATGGATCTATGTTTAATACTTGCAAAAAGAGTCATAGAACTCTCATGGAAGAATACTAGTAAACCAAAATTCATTAATTGGATTAATGAAATATCCTCAACATTACCAATGGAAAGGATTACTTTTATTATAAAAGGGAAACTATCACTATTTCAAAGTGTTTGGGATCCTTTTCTGGAATATTTAGGAAAAATGGATATGGCGGGGTCTCAGGGGTGAGTTACAGTTGTAGTTGGTCCCCTGCAGTGTCCTAAAATAATCTTCATTTGTATACTGGACTACTTTGAATTATATATTTGAGTTGATATTTTCTGAATCACTTACAATACAAAATAATATGGGCTAATTCCTAGAAAATAGAAAAACCGTTTTCATTGTAATTGTTGCTTCTTCTTGGGGGTTTGGGGTTGGGGACACTGTTTCTTCTCTCTTTCTTTTTTCTTTGTTTGTTTGATTGTTTGTTTGAAGTTTATGTTTTTTGTTCCTATACTCTGTATGTAATAAGAGCTGCTCTTAAATGCTCCATAAGGACCTGGCTTGACAAGTTGAATGTTGGACAATAATTTAATTATCCTGGGCTTTTCCTTTGATGTGAGAGCACATTTATCTCCTGTATATTATGAAAAAATGTTGAAAAAAAAAAAACAATAAAGATATTGTTGGGAAAAAAATAAAATAAAATAAAGAAAGTCACATGGTTGCTGTTGTGAATTAGACTCCATTAGTAAGAAGCCTATCCCCAAAGTTTCATTGTTGGGAAAAAGAAACAAGTTACAAATGGCCAAAGAACTGACTGGCTGATTTACAGAAGAAAATGGTGCAATGCTTTACAGGCTGATGAAAGCAAAATTCTTTATTTTGAATCTTTTTCTTATGACTCATAAACACTGAATACAAGTCACAGCAAACTCTGAGGACACTAAAGCACTGAGGTGTCTTTTATACTATGGCGTAAGATGTATTGATTGCTCCCCAGCCATCATGTATTGGTTTGAGTACATCCAAATGTTTTCTACCATGTTTTCATGCTACTTTATGATGAAATTATTTTAAAATTAGTGTTTCAGCAAAACAACACCCCCCAAACACAATAATAAGTAAGCCTCATAGAAAAATTAAGATTGTGGAGTGGTCATCCATATCCCTGGACTATAATCTAATAAAAACTTAATTTAAATAAAACAAACACCTGCAAACAAATGTAGAGGAACTATGGAATATATTCCAATCACCCTGGCCTGGTATTTGGTTGTGACACATATAAGAATGTCTCTGAAACAGTACCGTATTTTCCGGACTGTAAGTCGCTCCGGAGTATAAGTCGCACCCCCTACCAAACTAAGAAAAAAACTGTGACTTATAGTCTGGAAAGTACGGTAGTTATGCAATAAAATTTTGTGTAGTGATTCACATAAAACCATCAGTAATTTACACTTTTCTCATGCAGAGGAAAATAAATGATCTCTTTTCACATGAACATGCCACTTTGAAATGCAACTTTGTACTTAGAAAATATGTAAATAACTACATTAATTACAAAAAATACCATCGGCATTTTTAAGGATATGCAAAATAAATGAATAAAAATTACAGTCAGCCATATATGTCACAATATGTCTGCCTCTTGACAAAGTGAATGAAGAAGATTTTATTAAAACTGATGGAGAGAATAGAATTTATTGCCATTTGCACAAATACACAATAAAAGCACTTTATTGTGTATCTAAAGTAAAAATATCAAACATTCTTGTGTGTTTTGCCAACTCAAGAAAGTTTTTTTAAAAAGATATGCTTCCTATTTAAAAACAAAACCTGAAGAACTTTAGATGTACTGTCTTCAAAACTAAAACAGGAGCTCAATTTAAATACTTTTCTTTGTCTCCCAATATTTATCAAACAATTAAGAATGCTTTGTCATTTCATGTGAATCGGTTGTTGCACTCCATGACACACTTAAAGGCAAAGAGGTACAGTCTGATCAAGAATAAGGAAATAAAACAGCGGAAATTAAATTTGCTCGAAATGTATGTTCGCACAGGGCTGGGCTTCACTGACAATGCTCCACCCACCCGGTGCGCTCTCATAACGAAACCGATCGTTCCCGGTAGTGGAACAGCTGATGTCTTGTTTTATCTGAAGATCTGAGCAGCAGGTCTTCAGATAACGCGCAGTAAATTCTGTATTTCTCCGTTAGAAGCGTCTGTCCTCACTGGTAAGCCTCCTTCACTTCTTTTCTGAGTTTATTTGAGCTGACGCACTTTTTAGCACTTACACCAACACAAACACGAACAGCTGCGCTTTGGTCTGAAAGCAAATCCAACTGAGTCACCGCATTTCTAAGGAAGCCTTCCTGGTTTGTATGCAGTCAAGCCCACATTTCGACACCCGGTCGAACTTTGTACGTTTTAAAGATTTTTAACTGACTATTTTAAAATAAAAAAAATATTTATTTTGGTAGTGTTAAGAATTAAAAAGAGGAATAACTTGATTTAGCTCGTTAATTAATTCTTTGTCCCGAATTCTTGTGTCTGTGTAAGTGTGCAGAGAGAAAAGAGCAATCATACGACGTCAGACTTCAGATATTCAGAGTTTTATCCAGAGAAATTCAATGCAGTTCAGAATGTTACAACAAGCATCTCACCTAGATTATAAAAAAGTCCAAGACATGACAAAACAGAGACAAAGAACTGAGTAAAAAAAGACAAAACAGAAGATGCATCCTCCGGGAAACTCTCACTCGGCACAAAGAGATTCGAACTTCTGCTGTAAAACAAATCATTTATAGAATGCGTATTCTCCTCATTTAAATATATGCATTAGGAGGTGTGTTCTTTTCCTTTGTGTGGGCTGTCTTAATGTTAATTTTATTACCTCCTGCTAAAGAGCCCCAAAGGCAAATATATGGAAAACCCCCTAGCTCTTCTCGTAGCAGCCGCTGTCCAGTTTGATATATGATTGCAGCTGCAGCGTTATCTCTGCCTCAAAATGTTTCCACAAGAAAGTAGTTTGTATTTTTAACCAAGCTTGCACAAAATGTAATGCTAAATAATGACTATAAGTTTGGATCTAATAAGTAACTAATTAAAAACATGCTTAAAGAAATATAGTTAATTCTAATATAGATACAATTATTTATAAAAAGTTTTAAGATCCTAGTCAACTTTTGAACCATGCTCAGGAATTTGTTAATTGCCTGGCAGACAGACTCCCTATCTAAAGAGATCCAAGGAGTCTAAGACTGCTTTCTGATTAGGAATTTCTGTAAGTTCTGAGAGTCACCAGCTGTCCCAGTTCGGATCTGTATCTAAGTTTATCTTAACCTAAAAGTTAACTTATGTACTATTGTGCTACTTTAAAATTCTTATTTCAACAGTAGCAATGTCTCAAACAAATTAAGAAAACTAATAAAAGTCTGCTCTCTTAAAATGTGATTCTGTTTAAGTTTGCAAAATTAATCTAAAGTCAGATTTTTGAGAGGCTTGTGGTGTGACACACTCTAAAGTAAAAAATATCAAAGTTCCACGATATTTACTCTGAAGTCACCAATGAAATTCCTGGTATGTGGTGCTTTTGAGTTCCCATGCTATAATGTGGGATATTGGGGTAAAGGGACCTGATATTTGTAGATCTATCTTATCATATATGACTTCTATGTGCCACAAAACACAACCGTTTACAAGATTCATTTATTTAAAGTAATTAAATCCGATTTTTAAATGCAATGCTTACTTCACTGTCATGTCCTCTTTACAAGTGAAATTTTTTCCTGATTAATTTTCAGTGTTTTCTTTCTTTTTGCTTGTGATATTACAAAAAGTAGCTGCCTACTTTAAAGCTTTTAACCCATTTCCCCTCAAAGTTTCTTCCTCACAGGAACAATGGTGAACTGCTGTGGTCTGCTCACTGACAAGAAGGAACCAGGTACCCAGCTGTTCCTAAACAGCCTATAATAACAGATTTTATGGTTGCCTGTACCTCAGTCATGTCCTCTTTTTAATCTAGTTGATTTATTGGTTTCTTCAGCATAGAAGGAACAATGAACAGTTTAATTGAGATGTATTTAAACATTTCTTATGGTTCATTCATGTCTTTCTTTTGCTGATTTAGTTCCTCTGAAGAGCATTGATGCTCAACTGGAGGTGAAGGACCATGTAGCTACTCTGGTCTCCACTCTGAACTATGAGAACAAGGAGGACAAACCTCTAGAGGCTGTGTTTGTCTTCCCTCTGCCTGGAGATGCTGCCGTGTGTCATTTCAGTGCTCAGATTGGAAAAACACACATTGTAGCTGAGGTGAAGAAGAAACAGCAGGTGAGCTGGAACAAAGATGTCTTCTTTATGAAGAAGCTGAAACACAATAAAGTGAACATTGCTGACATGTTTCATGTGGACTGCAGGCTCAGGAGGAGTATGATGATGCCCTGAGCTCCGGTCAGCAGGCCTTCCTGTTGGAGGAGAGTGACGAGAGTCCAGATATCTTCTCCATGAAAGTGGGCAGTCTGCCTCCAGGAGAGAGCGCCTCCATCAGGCTGGAGTACGTCACTGAGCTGGCTGTGCAGGCTGATGATGGGTTGAGGTTCTGTCTGCCTGCTGTGCTCAACCCTCGATACCAACCTCAGGGTAGGAAAACCAGCTGATAGATGGATGCACAAATATACATTTTAATTACAAACTAAGTGACTCCCAGTTTTCTCTCATGTTGTTTCCAGGTAGTGAAGGTTCCAGTGTCCAGGTGACCTCAGTTCCAGCCTCTCTGGTGCCCTACAGTCTGTCCTTTTCTGCCCGAGTGTCCTCTCCTCGTCCAATCTCTAAAATAGAGTCCAGTTGTTCCCTGGAGCCTCTTCAGTACCTCAACGCTGATCAAACTCTGGCGACGGTGGGTAAAGAGCTGATGTTACTGCTGGAGGTAGTTATTACAAACAAGATAATTCACTTTCGTTTTTTTATTTCTGTTTTTGAATTATAGGTTAAATTGGGTGGAGGACACAAGTTTGACAGAGACATTGAGCTACTGATTTATTACAAAGACGCCCACCAGCCCTCTGCTATAGTGGAGGCAGGACAGGCCTCTGCCGAACCTGGTGAGAACCGATTACTTGAGGTGTTACTGAACCATAATTGTTGGAATATGAGTAGGTTTATGTATTTTTTATGTATTTTTTATGTATTTTTTTATTTTTTTCATCGCCAACATGCAGGCTCTCTGATGGGTGATCCAGTGGTGATGGTTAGCCTTTACCCTGAGTTCCCCCAGTCAGTGATGTCGTCACTCGCCGCCTGTGGAGAGTTTGTGTTCTTGGTGGATCGATCAGGAAGTATGCGCCGCGCCATGAACCACAACACACCGCAAGAAACTCGCATTAGCAGTGCACGGGTATTTATTTGTGTTTTAAAGGAATGTTTGAGGGTTTTTTCTTACCCCTTAATTGTCACCCCAAAAGCTATTAAATGCAATTCAACTGGTTCATCAGGGTACTGGTTTCCTCATGCAGCTACATTTCTGTGTGGAGTTGATGACTCTTCATTTTATTTAATACAGAAAATGTCTTAAGTTTGATTAATTAGAGTAAGATATCCATTTAAAAGGAAAACTTTCCTTATCTGAGAAGGATTAGAACAAAAATCAGGTTTTTGCGATACTGAAACAATTGTCTTAAAAATGCTTTCTTTGCGAGTACCATTGTCAGAACCAGAAATCTAGCAATTTTGTCACTTGGTATTCTATAGACTTTTAACCAAGCAGTTATTTTCTCTGTTCAGACTTTCTTTATAAAGGTTCATTTTCTGAGACTTCCCACCATTATCTTTGTCATAAAGTAATTGGCACTCCTGATGTAAAAAAAACCTAAACAAACCCTTACAGCTCCTGACATCTTGTCTTTATTTAGGACACTTTGCTGCTGCTGTTGAAGAGTTTACCAATGGGCTGCTACTTCAACATTTACAGTTTTGGTTCTTCCTTTGAGCACATCTTCCCGTAAGTGTCATCTAAGCCTTTCCTTCACCAACAACCACTCAATAAAGAAAATATTTACTAGTCCCTAACTTTCCTTAATTTCTACTCAGGAGCTCATTTAAAAGTGTTTCTTTTCATTTTGTTCAGTATATATATATTTTTTTTATTGGTTGTATTGTTCTTAATGGCAGTAAGAGTGTGGAGTACAGTGAGAAGACCATGGAGGAGGCTCTGAATAAGGTTGAAAAGATGGAGTCTGATCTTGGAGGAACGGAGATTCTTCAACCTCTCAAGCACATTTACAGCCAAGCCTGCATTCCCAAACATCCTCGACAGGTCAGCTATACACACTGATATTGCAACAGCTCTAGAAGTTGCACCAGCAAATAATCAGCTTTATCACATCTATGCGAAATGAACAATGTGATTGTTCACCACAATAACTCCTACTGCTGCACCCATTTCTGGAATGTTAGACAAACTTGTTTTCTCCGAAGCTCACTTACATCTCCTCCCTCAGTTGTTTGTCTTCACTGATGGAGAGGTGGGAAACACCAAAGAAGTTACTGATCTTGTTAAGAAGAATGCAGGCTCCCACAGGTGAAACCATAAACCTACAGATTCCCAGTCTGCTTCATGTTCTGATGTTATTGTGAGTTTGAAATCAAACTTTTGTATCGTAGGTGTTTCTCTTTTGGGATTGGAGAAGGAGCCAGCTCTGCTCTCATCAACGGGATGGCCAAAGAGGGCAGAGGTCACGCTCAGTTCATCACTGGGGCTGATAGGATGCAACCAAAGGTAAAAACAAACAAAAAAAAAACTGTAAAAAATTAAAATGTGATTATAGTAAAAGTAAATAATTTCACAACTATTGTTTGAACCACAGGTGATGCAGTCACTCAGGTTTGCACTGCAGCCAGTTGTGGAGAACATTTCTGTCTCTTGGGATTTACCAAAGGGAGTGTCTGCCACCGTTCTCTCTCCACCCATTACAGCTATTTTTCAGGGTCAAAGGTCACTGATTTATGCTCAGCTAACTCTACAGGTGGGGTCACACACACACACACACACACACACACACACACACACACACACACACACACACACACACACATATATATATATCTTCATCCTCATCAACTAATTTTTACAGAGTTCAGAGGCAACAGATGGCAGTGTGACAGTGAGATACAGCCTGGCAGGTCATCCCTCTCAGAGCCAGTTTCACTTCAATCTCAAACATGCAGATGACTCTAGGTAAGACTGCTTAATCATTGTTTCACAGCAATGACTGTACTGTATATGTGTAAGTCAGATGATATTCATGGAAACCATGAATATCTATTTCCCTGTTGCTCAAAAACTTTACAACATAAAGTGTTACATTTGTGTTAAGTTATTTTTTTAGAGGGCTCGATATCCCATGTCCAGATTTTAGGACAGTTGGAACGTCTCTTAAATGGCAGAACATTTTCAGCCAATGTGTATGGGTTAAGAATTGTCAACTAGATGTTATTAGCAGAGGGGCTGCACAGTGGTGCAGTTGCTGGCTCTGCTGCCTTGTAACAAGACAGTCCTGGGGTCCTTCTGCATGGAGACATCTTCAGGGTTTTCACTTTAGTTGTAGTTCTCCTAAACTGTGGCCTGAATTTCATTGGTGCCTGTTTAAGTCCAGTCTTTTAGAGCTACTGTTTAGTAAAACCTTGATGGTCAGGCATATCAAACCTGACAATCAGGTTTGCAAATGAGTTCTGTGGGTATGGGAGTTGCTATGGTGGGGAAACCCAGTGTGATCAGGAGTTGTCCGATGTAGCTGATGTGTTTTGTCGTGTTCATAGTCAGGATCTCAAAGTGCAGCTGTATAATGAACGATGTTATTTATCTACAGTGCTGATTTTTAATTTCCTCATTTCTCCCTTTCTCTGTTTCTAAATTGACCAGGTGGTTATTTTAGTTTACAAAACACTTTTGGGAGAATAAGAAGGTGCACAAGGAAATATAAGTGAAGATAGGATCCCGACTCTTTGCTTCATAAATCAGAAATTATTTTTGTTCATTTGATATATCTTGGTTTCACTCCAACAACGAATGGAAAATTAATCTTGACAGAAATGCAACCATACCCTAAAGGAAAAAGGGGGATGTTACAGAAAAAAAACAAATATAGTAGAGGGATTAATCTTTATGTTGAAAGAGATTGAGCTCCATCTTTAGATGTTTCTCCTTCTTGTCTGCAGATTAACAGTCCACAGACTGGCTGCTCGCACTATGATTCGCTCCCTGGAGTCGGAGGAGAGGACACAAAGGAAACAGAATGATGAAGAAATGAAGAAAAAGGTGGTGGAGCTCAGTGTCCAATCAGGAGTGAGCAGTTCTTTCACTGCCTTCATAGCTGTTAACAAAGACAGCGGCAAGTCCGTTGAAGGACCACTGGTGCGCAGAAATGTACCGACACCTTTCTATGGAAGTGAGTGATTTTCATTTTAAATAGTTGTTAATAGAGAGTTATAACAGGTATAAATGGTAAGTAAACCTCCTATTGACTGCAAATATCAACTGACTATGAACTGATATGATACATTGATCAAATAAGTTTCAGTATGAAATTATTCAGATGAAGAAGTAGAATTTCTCCCATAATACAGTGTTTATTAAAAATATTCACCCCTTTTGCACTCTATCAGTGTTACAAATCAATTATGATCAACAAGATTTAGCTTTGTTTGATAATATTAAACACCATATATAATATGTTTGGACACTGCAGTAGCAAATTCTTTCTTAATCCAAATGTGGCAAAGGTCGCTGGGATCGGGAGTCGAGGCCCCCAAATGTGGGGCGTGCTAACCTCCTTCGGCACCACAGCATGCCCCAGTATATTTTAAGGAATTATTAGAATTTTGGTCTAAAATAATTTGGCAGCCGTAACTAATTTCAACAGTTCTTTTTGTATTGAAGTTGTCAAATTTGTTAGTAAAAGCAAACCAGGCCAGCTCTACATTTAGGATCAGATTTAATCTTCGTCTGAATCCATGCTCATGGCTTTTGAAAAGATATTTGTTTGTGTGCTCAAAAAGTCAGAATAGAACCTTCTAAAAGCAACTTTTGGAATAAAATGTATTAGTTTTTCTATCTATCTGTCTGTCTGTCTTTTTAAACATGTTCATGTCCTTTGGTCTAGGGAACATTATGACTACAGCTTGTTTTGCTCCACAAATGGCTGGTAAGTAAAACTCTAAGGAGGAACTGCTACAACTTAAAAACATAATTACTTTGTACTTGGAAACCATTTATCATCAATAATAATTTATTAAAAAATTTTGGCTACATTTTCACACAAATGGAAGAGAAACAGTCACAATAGCATGTATTGTACTTTTCATTGCTGTTTACATGATACCAAGTTATGTAAAAATTATACTGCAGTAAGTTTGTGTACTTTCATTTTAGTTTTTTTTTTTTTGCGTTTTGTTGTTTTAAATTTTGTTTTAACAGTTTTGATAAAGATAAAAATAAGGTCTCGGTGCATAATAATTTCAGTTTCATTTTCTTTGGTAAGAAGCATTATAAAATAATTGTAACAAATAATATATCAACTAATTCTTTGTTCACAAATTTATGTCTGTTTCAAGCAATGTTTAAGGTTAAAAAAGAAAAAGTTAAAATACTTGTATGAATTTTACGGCATACAGTGAATATTGACAACTGCATGTTGGAATAACACAAATGAGGAGTTCACTTATTCCAGTATTATTAGACATGTATCCTGCAAACCTGGCTACACTTATTGTGGTTTAAAGCGCATCCTTGTCCAGTTCATGTGTGAAAATAAAATCAGTACAACCTTAAAAACCTTTTTACCAGTGGTGACTTTTAGTTGGGCATTCTCAACCAGAAACCCAGTAATGCCCCCTAGTTCACCAGCACTAACATGGCCACTGACAGTCAGACACACAGTAACCAGGTTATTGTTAAGCTCTAACTAAAGCATCAGTCTGAACTTCACCAAGTTAACTAGTTCAATTAACATGTGGTAATCTGATACCACAGCTAATCTATTGATGTTTCTTTGCTGATGCTCACAGCACGGTCACACCCAAACAAATTGCTTGAAGTGTCTCCATTAAATTACACTGCAAAAGCGCTTCATATGAAAAACTTTTAGTTTGTATAGATTTTTATTTATTTATGTTTTTAGATTTTTCTCATCTTTACCTCGGTCTATGCAGTTCTCCCAGCATAGATGGGATGACTCCATAGTTATCCATAGACGGATATCAATAAATTATGTCGGTCTATGCAGACGGATGCAATTATCTGTCTGCAGAGACAGATGTAAAAATCTGAAAATCTTGAGACAACTGAAAAACTTACTGAAGCCCAGACGTGTTGATTAAAACAGGTAAAGTGAATTTTACATTTGGATTTAGAGATTCAATCTGAGAACACCCTAAATGTGTCTAAGTAGTGTTCAGTGTCATATTCACCAAAATAAAAATAGAAGAGTCTGAAAACGGTTATTGTAATAAAACGTCACAATCTTAGAACTCTTATTTTTTTCTTTTCATGTCTCTGTGTCTCCATGTAGGCAGGAGCTATTTCAGCGCACCTCCACAAATGGGTAAGTAAAAACTCTAACTCCCTGTTTCTTAAGGTTTTCTCCAAAATAAAAATAGAAGAGTCTGAAAACGGTTATTGGAATGAAATATCACACTCTTAAAACTCTATTTTTTTTTCATGTCTCTCTGTGTCTCCAAGGAGAAATGATGCTCAGATCAGCTTTACGATTGCGTAAGTAAAAACTCTAACTCACTGTTTCTTAAGGTTTTCACTATATACTTGGACCGCATTCACCATTAGTAATAATTTACGACAAATTTTGAATAACATTTGGCACAAATGGAACAGAAATTAAACAATCGATGATTTGCTGCACAGCCACAGTATGTGCTTTAATTATATTGCCCAAATTAGAGCAAGTATTTTACTTGCTGTCGTTCACATGACACAGATTTCTTAAAAGATGTTACTGAAAAAGGTTTGTGTACTTTAACACTGAGATTACCGTACACACTCAGATTTCCTTTGTTTAAAGCGAAAATTGAAACTTTATAGGTTATTTTTAGTTTACATTTAGTCATGTCGTTTTGGTAAAGATAAAATGAAGCCTGAAAGAAATTGTTAGAATGAAATGTCACAATCTTAGAACCCTATTTTTTTAAATGTCTCTCTGTGTCTCCATGTAGGCAGCAAGTGTCGAGTCGATTCTCCACGAAAGGGTAAGTAAAAACTCTAACTCACTGTTTCTTAAGGTTTTCACTATATACTTGGACCGCATTCACCATTAGTAATAATTTACGACAAATCTTGAATAACATTTGGCACAAATGGAACAGAAATTAAACAATCGATGATTTGCTGCACAGCCACAGTTTGCGCTTTAATTATATTGCCCAAATTAGAGCAAGTACTTTACTTGCTGTCGTTCACATGACACAGATTTCTTAAAAGATGTTACTGAAAAAGGTTTGTGTACTTTAACACTGAGATTACCGTACACACTCAGATTTCATTTGTTTAAAGCGAAAATTGAAACTTTATAGGTTATTATATTTTTTTGGTCGGTGAAATAAAAGTTCACCGACCAAATGTTTCATAACCTATTACTATTTGTTCAGTTTTACTATGAGCTTATATCTGATAATATAAAAATGCACACATCCATAGACAAACACACTATATAGAAAAATCTGTGAAAACAAGATTTTCTTCAACTTTTCGAAGAATAAAAATATAAATATAATTGACCCTCTTTCCAGCATACATGTTAATGGAAATAACATCTCAGACACTTTTGATTTATCCTTAAGACCCTACTTCCTGGTATATGGCGTCATGAACATATGCAAACAGGCCGATTTACTTGTACACTGAGTTTTTTTTTGTTTGTTTGTTTTACTATGAACATCTATCTTTATTTCTATTTTGTTTTTTTTTTTCTTCAACAGATATAAATTTTTGGGCTGTAATACAATCAGGTAAGTGTACTTTCATAACCATATCCATTCATTGTTTACACCAGTTTTACAATGTATGGTCACAGAGGACACTGATGTCTATCTTGACTTGTCAGTGGGGTCACCAGTCAATCACACAACACCACACAGACACAATCAACAGAAACCATGCAAGCATACATTTATGGCTATGGGGGGATTTTAGAATAATTAATTAAACTACCACATTTCTGGGCTGTGAAAGTAATCTGGAATACTTGTGAAATATCCAGATGGACTGAAGTAAACAGTAATGTTTTCTGTCCTTGTCTGGGGTTCAACGGCTTTTGCACATCTCTTGTTGTCAGGCAATTGCACTGAGCAGCATAAGAACTGATGCTGCTTGATCTCATTTAGCTCTGGTACCTAAGGTCACAACTCTTAAATGCTTTTCAGACAATACAACTTAAAATTGTATCCCTTGAAAAACACAGTACTTTGAGATCTGCTGGAGCTGCAGGCGATGTAACAAAGTTACCCAAGTAGCAAGGCTAATCTTTTTCCAGGAGTTGTTGCATAAGAGTTTTAGAGAGACAAATCATAGGAGATTTGTTAGGCTGTCAACAACAACAAATAAGGTTCAAATCACAGTCCTCTTTGTGATCTTGGTATTTTTATCATCACAATAACAAAGGATGTAGTACTTGACATGATATTATTTTTTTATGTCTCATCTATGCAAATTTCACATGCCCATAATATAGATGGCCTGCTGGGCCAGACTTTCACTGCCCACTACATTTACTTTTTGATGTATATTGTGTTTTTAGTTGCTGACATCCTCACACTCACAAAGAGGACATTGTTGTGAAGAAGAAGAAAGAATAGTGTCTTCAAAAAGTTGTTGTAATTTGCATTGTTACAATATTTGGCAACAGATTTGAAATGATTTGTTTTCATAAGTACTTGAGTGGAATTTACAGAACAATTGTAATAAAACTCACTTTGGTTTTATCATAAGACAAGAGCTAAGACTTTTATTGAACTTTTTCTATTCCACATTTGACATGTTTGAAGAAGCCTGTGTGGAAGAATCCAGAAAGCCAGAAGCTGTGGTACCCAGTAAAGATGCTCTGCTGCAGCTGGTGTCCCTGCAGAAGGCATCTGGCTACTGGATACTTGATGCAATTCTGGCTGCTGTGCTGGGAAAGACCGGCGAGCAAGTGGAAAAGGCAAAGCCACAGTCGGTGGGTTCTAAGCTAATATTTAATATCAATTTTAAGGTGTTATGTTTCAAGAATGCTTATGGTGGCCGGTTGTTTTGTTTTTGTGTGAGTGTTGATGCCCCAGGTCGGGCAGGGTCTCCTCAAAGCTGTCCTCCCTGGGTGGCGGGTGGCGGAAAACTGTCAAATTACCGTTGCCTTTCTGCATTTGAAGGGCAGCGAGGCCAAAGGGCACATCATCAGACACGACCAGAGACGCTCTCCAACTGGACTTGGTGCAATCCGCCAAACAGTCAGAGTGGATCCGTACAGCAGAGCAAGACGGTGGAGATCTGTCAGCATCCTGTCAGACAGCAATGACAATGACCACTGAAGGAGGAGTCTGTACTAAAGCTTGAAAATATGAATGAAATACTTTCTTTTGCTCACCAAAGGGACCACAGTTAAAAATGTCACTGCGTAGTTTGATTCTAGTGAGTTCAGTGCGTGAACAGTGAGCGTGAGCGTCACAGTCGCTCCAGCCTGAGCCGTGGCGGGAGTGAGGAGGCTCACCTCTGCATCAAAAGAGTCTTGTTCCTCAACAAACAACCTGGTTAACAAAAAGTCCACACTTGCATTAACGTGAGTGACAATTTCTAACATAGAGTGAAAGAATCTCCTTAAAGAGCTGATTAAAGAGCAGATTAAAGAGCAGATTAATTTCTTTCCTGTCTGCGTACCCGTGTGGCCCCCTCGTCAGAAGATAACCACAGTCATCATCAGCTGTTAGATTAAAAAGTTGAGCAGGACCGTGGTTGTAGATGGAGAAGATCACCACTGTGCGGTGGCCTGGTAAGAGCTGGGGGGTTGACATCATCTGAGGAGATTAAGATGCACAAAGTGTTGAGTGAACTATTAAAACTATAGAAAAGGCAAAGCCACAGTCGGTGGGTTCTAAGCTAATATTTAATATCAATTTTAAAGTGTTATGTTTCAAGAATTCCCACATGAAGAAAATGAGAAGTAAAATTGTAGGTAGTGCAAATGATCATCACTCTGACCATTAATTTTAAAAATTGGCTCAATAATGTTTGTGGTTTCTTGCAGTTAGGGAAGTTTAACCTCCTGAGACCCGGGCTTTTGTTTGATGTGCATTTTTTATGTCTCCTTACTATTTGGGATTAGTCTGACCTAATTTTAGTTGAAATTAAATTTTAGCTTCCTATGTGCTCTTGAACTATGTCAAAACCAATGTCCTCATATGAGGACATTGGGTCTTTCTTTGCATATAATTTTTTTCCTTGCCATTTGGGATCATAAGGACCCAATTAGCCTAAGAATGAAATTTTAGCTTTCTACAATAAGTGGTTATATCAAAACTAAATGTCCTCATACGAGGACATTGGGTCTATCTGTGTGACGATAAGATCATTCAATCAATGTTATTATTTACATCTGTGTTTCACAGTATGTACATTTACGCTGCTTTCTGTCCAGACTTTCAAAATGAAGACACCATTGGTTAACAAAGTACAAAAGTTTATTTTATACTGTCAACAAACAGTGTGTTGCTTTTGTATGGAAAAGTGCAAAGTGTATTAACATGTCATAACAAACTCAGTAAATAATTCAAGTATTCCTGCTTGCCTCTGTGAAAGGCTTTGCATGGAAAAGTGCAACATTTATAAACATCATTATGAACGTGTCATAGCAAACTCAAACAAACATTCAAGTATTCAAGTAGTCCTACTGGCCTCCATGAAAGGCTTCAAAGCAGTTGCGCTGACTTTGCAGGCAAAGGAACACATTGCATGTCAGACAGCGTACACGGGATTTCCCATGGCAGCCTTGTTGTCTGCAACGCATCGGGTTCTTGAGATCAGCAACTTCCGGCAGATGAGCAGCAGAAGTTGTGCGCGCTGAGATGTGGGGGATTGGAGTGACCAGGGATGTTTGGCCAGTTTTTGGACAGCATGCACTCTCTTCCTCTGCATGTGTGACATCACACTTGTTGAGGAACACCTGAGCCACGTCCATGCGGAACGTGAGGAACGTCATGATGGCCTTTCTTGGGGTATTGTGTTCTTGATGATCTCTGCGATACTGCAGCCAGCTGTTGGCCAGAGCAAGATCCATGAAGTGCATAACCATGCGAATCGTCCACTTCTTTGTTCGCACCCTCATCCTGTAGTAGCTCATCATTCTGTCAGACAAGTCTACCCCACCCATCTTTGCATTGTACTCTTGTACAATATTTGGTCGTGTGATGGTTAGGTAGCATTTGTCCTTCTTGGACCACCGCTGGCAGGTATCCTCTGGCTCTTTAGCATGGACAGTAGAGAGCATCAGGACCGGCTTGTTGTCAAACCATTTTACAACATTTAGTTTCCCATCTCCCCTGACAACTGATGCGGCGGTACCTCTGCCTTGCTGCTTCATGATCTTGTCAGTTGGGAGCTTCTGCATTGCTTTTGGGATCCTGTTCTTCATAACTGTACCAGTTAGGTACACTTGCTTCTCCAGCATGGATTCCACAGCTGATGTGGTGGTGAAGAACCTATCGCAGTACACCTTTGTACCAGGATGTACTGTTTTTGTCAGGCGTTTGAGAACCAGGGCTCCCAAACCCAATCCTTCTGCGTCCGGCACCTGTGCAGCCAGTGCCTTTGAACCTTGGTAAACTTCAAAGTCGAGAACGACACCATCTGCTGTTGCCAGGACAAAATTCTTCATGCCAACTGGATTTGGCTTCAGCGGCACATACTGGCGGAACGGACAGGCTCCAGTGAATGGTATCATCTGTTCATCTATTGAGACGGATTCTGGTCGGGCCTGAGCATGGCAGCCTTTGAGTATGCGATTCATGAAAGGCCTCACCTTCCAGAATTTGTCTGTTTTCCTGTCTTCGGGAATGTCGTCATCAATTACCACCTTCAGATGGCTCCTCAGCTTGAAGAATCGGTCGCGTCTCATTGTGTCACTAATGGAAGGGATTCTCAGGTTAGTGGACCAGAACATGCGGATTTGTGGGTAAGGGATACAAGACATCAAGATGGATGCTCCAAAAAAGTGGTACATCTCTTCAACCGATGTGTTGAGAGATCTGCCACTTTTAGCTAATGACATAGAATTTGTACAGTCGGCAAAGACTTTCATCAGTTCTATGTCAACGTACTGTTCCATGTACTGCACCGGCGACATATCTGCTCGCTTGTCTTGTTGTTCATCAGCTCCTTGAAATGGGACTAAAACAGGGTTGAATGGAGCACACTTCCAGTACTCTCTATTTCTATTTCTTGGTCCTGCCCTGCGACCTTGCACATCCTGGTGAGGTTCATCAGAAAAAAGATGCTGTTGTTTATGTGGTGGTTCACTCGCATCGCTGTCAGTATCTTCACTTATGTCAGCAGCATCAGGTTGATAATCTGAATCAGAATCATCAGGTTGCTCCACAGTTGCTTCACATGGAGTGATTTCACCCACAGCAGGGTCATCCTCTTCACCATCTGACAAATCTTCAATCTCAGAGTCATTTGTGATTGCAGTTAGCAATCGTTCAGCTCTCGAAAAGGACATTCCCCCTGTAATGATAAAAATGCACAATCTATTTCCTTGTAATAGGAAATAAAAACTTGCTCCACTGGCAAATTATTCTACATATTTTTTAGTGAAAGTTCGCTTGAAACAAGTGGTGATTGTCTAAAAACAAGTTATTTTTGGAGAATGAGTCTTATTTTATGTAATAAGACTTATTTTGACTAGAAATTAGACATTTTGTCTAGAAATAAACACAAATGCTCTTCGAAAAATTTTACGTTTTTGCACTGAAGCTAGACCTGATGTCCTCAAACGAGTACGTCATGTTTACAGACGTCGTAGCTTGCTAATATTACTCAAATATATCAAATAAGCATGTCAGTTGAAGCTACAGACATTATTGTGCATAAATAAACTAGTTTCAATCATAAAACTCGATTAGGATTTTTACCTTGTCCATGTTTGTGTCGGGAGCTGCCGTAGAAGACGTTCGCTGTCATTCCCGCCATGCCGTTTTTTTTCAAATGAGTGTAATTTCATTATGAGACCAGTAGGTGGTGCGGGCAAGCCCCCCAGATGAGGACAATTGGTCAAAATTCTTACAAATTAAATGTCATGGTGCAGAGCAGCAAAAATGTAATGTCCTCATATGAGGACGCGGGGTCTGAGGAGGTTAAGATCATTTGCAGAGGTAATGAGTAAAATGCAGGGAAAGCAAACATGCACTCATTCACTCAGACCTGAGAACAACTTGAAGGCCATTTGTCTTACCATGAATTTGCATTGTGGGAGATGCTGGAGTATCAAGAGAGACAAAGAAAACTGATGGAGAACATAGAAACTCAACACAGAAAGTCTCCAGGGATTTGAACCGAGAACCCTGTGAGGCAACTGAGTCAACCACCATGTTTTAGTGTTGAGCTGTAAAGGGAGAGTTGATACGGAGTTAATCAACTACATCAAGTATTTGAAACGACACTGGTAATCTTTAACACACACCATGACATGAGATTCAAAGAATAACTGCCAAACTGAAAATAGTCAGCAAAATGTAGAGTAGCATATGTATCATTATCTTCCTCCTGGCTCCAATTGGTGTCTTTTTAACAGGAGCAGTGCACTTTTGCAGGTTTCTATAGTTACATTGGAAGAAGCTTGATGATATTTCTTTGACAAATGATCTACCTCATGCCATACTGTCATGGCATTGACAATTTTAACAATTATATAAAATACTTTTTCCAAAAAAGTTTCATAATGTGGCTTTAATGGAATATCTGAAACAACTTGCAATTAAATATCATGTCAACATGGCATTCTGTTTTCTGTGTTTCTCATTTCTGTTAATTAGGTCAACCATGAAGTGTGGGCCTCCATTCTGGCTCTGATTTGGCTTCATGGTTTTAAGATGGATGCAAAAGAGGAATGGGAGCTTCTGGCTATGAAGGCTGCATCATGGATTAAAGCTCAAAACGGTAACATACATAATCAACAGGGAACTGTTACGTTCACCATGATGTGTTTAAAACAGAAGGTAAAACTAGATGCAAAGAAAATGCTAGTGAATCTTTTTTTTTTTTTTTTAATCCAGCTTCATCTGTGTCTGAGTGTGTCGAAGCTGGAAATGCACTGTTGGGTTGCGGTGTGAAGAAAGAAGCTCTGGGGCTCTGAGGTTTACCGACAGGCTTCAGCTCTACTATGAAAGGACCTCAGTGTTGGAAGGGAAACACTGAAGTTGTTGATGACCAAGAACAAGCTTAAGCCTTTATTTTCTTTTTGCACAATTTAACCATGTATCTGCCAGCATGCCTTTAGATATTTGCAATCTATAACATAGCTTTATGCTTAACTTTCAACAATGTTTATAAAATAAATGCATAAAAATTAAAAAATTCCATTAATTTTATTTGCCTTTGTTATTTTTTAAATCCTTTCTTAATGTTTTGGTACTTGAGTCCTGTCTGACACTTGGATAGTGTACACTGCTAAAGCTGCCCTTTTTCTTCTGGAGAAAAAAAAAATCCCTTTTTAATTTTTTTTGAGTGTATTGTGTCTGACCTGAGATAACAATTCTGGATTTCAAAGCCAATCTTACCAGTGATCCATATTTTTGTAATTTTGCTTGACAAGACTCACTCCAACCCCAACACATGAATTTCCCTGTCACACATACCAGTCATGTGGAAAAACTATGCCCGAAGCATGCAGGTGGATACCGGCGTCTGCTTTTTGCTTTTTTAAAAGGATACAAGTGTTTACCATACATGATGCCAAGCACTGTATGGTAAACACAGTCTGTGGACTGCTTATTGTGCAGTGCAGTGCACATGCATATTGCCACGACAGAGAGGTGTCATGGTGATGGGCGGGCGAACCATCCCAGTAAGCAACAAGTGTATTTGCCTCCCAAACCTCAGATGTAAAAAACAGTGCTGGCCAATCACAGAGGGGTTGTTTGGAGAAACTTTTGCCGCTTTCTCTGTGAAAGCGCCTCAAGGTAAAAGCAAAACAGAGGACGCAAGGAAGAAGTAATTCAATCTGAGCATGTCTTAAAGTCTTAATGGTAGGAAGAACTGATAGACTGGGAACCCTCAGAGCTAGGGTATTTTTTTGTTCTTCTGAGGTTTGAGCACAAAACCTGAAGAGTTTTATAAAATCTGCAAAGATAGGACAAAGCTGAAATAAAAAGTATTTGAAGGACATGACTACATTTTAAAGTTTGAATGGCGTTCCTATAGCTACAAGTGCATGGAATGGGTTAGCTGTGAATTATGGAATGTTCCATTCCTTTCAATGTTCCCCAAGATGATGACACAAAGCTGGGTATTTTTGTCAGCCATAGAGCAGGGGAGCTCAATACGTCGATCCCAGGAAGGTTTTGAGTTGATCTCTGCAGCAGATGACAAACTGAAGGCCAGGACGCTGAGACCAGCACTTCCTCTTCTGATTCCTTATCAAAATAGGAGTTTACATGAGCTAATCAACCATGGCTGTGTTCAGGGGAGGTGCATTAATAATCGATAACTGAATATCAAGCCTGTAACGGACTGGATGTTACGTCTTTAACGTCATCTTTGCTCGGCTTGCGGGGCGCAGGCGGTTGTCGCGGCAACAGGTGTGTTTAAAACGATAAAGAGAGAAAAAGAGTCAAAAGGTGCGATGGTTTTGAGTTGATCACCTGTTCGGGTTTGTTTACCTTCGCTGTGGTTCATCACAGCCGCTGGAGTTTCTGAACGATCAATAAACAACAAACTTGGACTAATTACCTCGTTATTAAATTAATAGAAGCTTTTTCACAGCGAACATCAAATAGGACAAATATATTTGATTAAATTTTAATAAATGGCTTCTACCGCGATAATTATGTGAAATTAATTATATCCCATATTCATAAGATCTGTCTTTACCTTTGTTTCCTCCTATCCGTCTGTAGTTTCTCATATTAAAGTCATCAAACCAAATTTCAGATCTACCATAACTGACTGACACCAGCTGGGCTCTGGTTTGCAACCAGCTTCCGACTGAGAAACCAGTAACCTGCTCCCAGTCTCAGAATCTCACTGAGGAAGAAACTGCATTAGGTTAATCTGTCACTTTATTATTTCTGATATGACTCATGTATATTCGCATATAAAATAAGTCAATAGAGTTTGATTTACAATTTCTATGTGTTTGTGTCATGAGGTAGATCTCAGCCGGCTGGTGAGAGAAAAAGTAGATTTTGGTCTCAAAAAGTTTGAGCATCCCTGCCATAGAAGATGTCAATACCATCATCCTCACAGGTTTGGAGGAGCCAAAGATCAGAAATAAATCTGACGGAAAGATGAAATGGCTTATCACAAGAATGACCTCTTTGCATATTGTGAATAAATTGGCTATTAATGAAGCAATTTTGCACTCGACGATTAAGGCCAAAAAATGATTCTATAAACTATTAGCAGGGTTCTAGTTTGAATGTTATGCTTGATTTTAGAGATAAGTGAAAAATTTAATTAACGGACATGTATTTAATTAATCAAAATACAGGTTATACTAGCTTTTTACCAATTTATAATCTCTTAAATCATACTTAATTATCTCACAGGAACTGTGATTTAAAATTTGCATTTTTTGATATGTGTTACAGCATCTTTCCTTTTAATAGTTAAAGTGTTGTAAACAGTCAAAAAGATTGATAGTAAATGTAACCTATTTTCTAGCTAAAATCCCCTCTAAAGAACAAATGCAAAGGTTTGTAGTTTACATAATAATCAGCTACTTATGTTTTAATAAACCTTACATTTATTGGGAAATAATTATTTCCAGTCCATTTTTCTGTGATTGGTGTATTTCATATTTATTGGAAAATAAGTGTCTTATGGTATGAAGTTAAAAAAAAAAAAAAAAATATATATATATATATATATATATATATATATATATATATATATATATATATATATATATACACATATATATATATATATATATATATATATATATATATATATATATATATATAAAGACAATTCAAAGTAAAAACAGACAAATTGCAAATATGTTTACTCCATGACTCCATGAGTCATGACTTGCTTCATGACTTCTTTTTTATGCATCGAGTGCAAGTATTACAAGCCATGCTGAACAGAAGCATGATTAAATGTTACATAAAGGAAGAAAAAAAATCCTAGACTTGGAATAAACAGAGTAGCTTCTTGGTCATCATTAACTTCAGTGTTTTCTTTCTGTCCAGGTGCTTTCATAATGGAGCCAAAGGCTCAGAGCCCCAGAGCTTCTTTCTTCATGCTGCAACGCAGCAGTTTATTTCCAGCTTCAACGCACTTTGACACACGTGGAGCTGAAGGAAAGAAAAGATTCACTGATATTATTTTTGCATCCAGTTTTAACATCACTTAAAAACAGGAGTTCCCTTGTGATGATTTATATTACCCTTCTGAGCTTTAATCCATGATGCAGCCTTCATAGCCAGAAGCTCCCATTCCTCCTTTGCATCCATCTTAAAACCATGAAGCCAAATCAGAGCCAGAATGGAGGCCCACACTTCATTGTTGACCTAATCAACAGACAGAGATGTTGAAAAACGAAAAGGCGGCACAAGGAAGTATCTAGTGTCGCCTACTTGGAGTTTAGCGGTTACTAAGTATCTTTCATATACTTGATGGTTAGTTGATCAACTCCATTTTAACTCTGATTACAGTTTTGATTCTGAAATGTGGTGTTAGTTCTGGGTTTAAATTCACTAAAGGGGCTCTGCAAGGCTCTTTCATGTTCCTAAGTATATGTATATTGTCGCTGCGTACTATGGATTTTTTGACAGAAAATATGCATGTAAGGCTAATTGGTCAGATGGACTGGAAGTCAGTGTAAACCCTACTTCTAGTTAAATTCCCCTCTTTGCAACCTGGAATGCTAGTTTTTGTTGTTGTTAATCGTATTAAATTATATAATAATTTATTATAGTAATAATAATTACTATTATGATGATTATTATTATTATACAAAAGCTTTTTCTTATTTATTATTTACATTATAAGATTTTTTTAATAATTGTTATTTTAGATTACAACCCACCGATTTTGGTTTTGCCTTTTCCACCTCCTCTTTGGTCTTTACCAGTACAGCAGCCAGAGCTTCATCAAGCATCCAGCTGCCAGACGCTTTCTGCAGGGACACTAGCTGCAGCAGAGGGCCTTTATGGGGCGGTGGGTGTTTGGCTGACCCTTCTATTCCACCTGTGAAGTGAAAAGAGCTTGACAAGTGGATACATGAGGTGCAGTTCAATAATCCACTGCATTCATAAATACTACTTACGACGCATTCTTTCTTCAGCTTTTGTCCAAGAAAAGCTCTTACAACGCAACTCTAGAATAAAAACAAAACTGAGCATTACTGAGAACATTGTCCATCATCACAGTACACTTAATGTTTCTGCATGTGTATCTGAATAATACATCATTTAACTCTCCCACATTCTTAAACGTGCTAAAAAGTACAGAGCTCCCCGCATGCGCTTTCTCAAATTTTTTTTTTTTCTGTGGTTTTGGGAACTGATGGTTTGACGGGACAACGGCGCTTTGCTCTTCTCCAAGCATTGCACTTATACCGTGGGAGGGTTGACAGATGGAGACACGTTTCCTGAAAATTATTGCCAGCCATATAATCATGACAATCGGACAGCGATATTACTCTTTCACAACAATATACAGAGGTTGTGCAAACAGATTATCATGAATGAAGTTTTTAATTTTTCTTGAAATTAGTCTATCTTTCATAGGTTAATTGCCACAATCTTTGTAGGTTGGGGTATTCATAAATTTACTCCAGAAATTTATCATCCATTATGGAATTGTAGTATTTTCACTCGACTGAAAATAAAACTTGGAATTTGGCTGACATTCATTCAGAAACACTAAAGACAGCCAACAATCAGAAAATTCTTCAATTAACAATTGTTTGTTCTTT